GCTTGATATTTAAATCAATTATTATTAAAAAAAAAAAAAGAAAAAGAAAAAAATAATTCAAACCATGTAAAAGTATTGCGATAAACAACAAAATAAGCAGGCAAAATTAGAAAACAGCACTGCAAACTTAAGCAAACACATTTTAATATACTCTTTTTGTAAAATATTTTATCATTCTTAGAATTTGCATAAGTTACGCTTGGTTTTACGTCTCTAAACATGTATGTATATACATATATGTATAAATATATATGTATATATATAAAAGTTCTGTTCATAAACTGGGGCTATTTTTATTTGTTATAATCAAATATGAATAGTTTACTGATACTTTTCAATCAAACAGAAGTAATGGGATAAATTTCTCCTTTATCCCCAACACACACCATTTTCACTTTGCCTCTTCATCATCTCTATAGGAGCAAATATTGAATGATGGAATACAGAGGAAATAAAGAACAATTACTTTGGTAAGATCTTTAACTAAGGTTGTTAGATCATTATATTTTTTAAATTTCCTCTATTGAACACTCTTTTACAACTTGGTGTTTTATTGAATTTTTTTTAAGAGGTGCCAAAATATAAATGTCAAATTCTATCCTATTGATTATCATTATAATAGGTCATAATTTTTTGAAAGTAATGGCTAAATCTAATTATTCTTGTATATATTGCCGACAGACTTGTATACATTATTAATTGACTTCAACTGAACTATTAAAAATGTAAATTGAGACAATCTCCCTATGAAAGTTGTTGTGTACTTTGTCTAAAAGGATGGAAAGGCCTACTGTTTCCACCCCCAAACATAAAAACATTATTCCCAGTTTTCTCTATTACACAGAGTCTTTTCTTGAGTGTAATTTACAAAGACTATATTTTGAATTTCAGCTAATGGTTTAGGAGCTCTTTCTCAATGTACTCATATGCAATGGGAAAATGTTGTTAATGTTTTTCGGAAAATGGAATCTCTAAGTATCAACATGCATGGCCTAAAACTGTAATATCCTTCCAGGAAGAATTTCCATGAAGCTGGGGGTTATTTCCCTCAAATAGGGTTTGTGAGGACAAAGCAACTTAAATATTTTCCAGCACACAGAAAATTTTTACTTACATAAACCTCTCTAACATTTGCGTTTTCATATCAGGAGTTAACTAATATGAAAGTTACATTTGTATGAGATAGGGAAACAGAATCTAAAATGATTTTGTCTTCATATTGCTATTATTCTTACTATTAAAAATTGTGAAATTTAATCATAGAAGTTTGCATTTTACTATCAATGGAATACATTGGCCATCACTTTAAGCATTCCATTTTGCAGTGGCAGAAATATATTTCCAGAGAAACATTTGTGGTTGTTTCTGGTATCAAATTTAAGTGCTCAAGGCACATATGAATATTGATGTATTCATACAGAGAAACTGAAGAAGGACTGTGAAAGTGGAGGTCCCATTCTACCCCTGGCTCTGACACAGAGCTACTCCATAACTGAGACCAAGTCAACTCTCCATGCAATAATATCTGTATACGGGATGAAGACAGTGCCGTCCATGTCCTTTTGTTATTTTCTTTCCAAAACTAACTAATTTTAGAGCTTTCTTTTGAGATGCAGCATACATCCAGTGTTTTTCATTTTTACTGAAGTTAATAACAACATTTTCCTAGAAATAACCAAGGCTCAGTTTTGCTGGGATTTTGCACTGCAAACACGTAGTATGATCTGCTTAAGATATGCCTCTCCTGTTCAGTCATGCTTGGCAAGTAGTCCTCGATGCCATTGGGGTATTTTTATCATGATCAGTCACTGAAAGTCAGGAAAATAACTCGCCTTTTGCCATTCAGCAATTTTGTATGTGTTTAAAAGACAAAAGGGGAAAGTTATTAAAATACTGATGATTGCTGTTATAAAAATTATTTTTGTTCATTTCCCTTTGCTTTGTTTTCCCTCTCCTCCCACACCTTTTAGCAAAATTTTGGATTTATTCCTACAAATGACTTTTCATAAACTCTTCCACTGACATGTGGAATGCAGTTAGCTTTCACTCAGGCATCTCTATTCATGTTCAAATATTAGTGCTTCTGCAGATAACATTTGCATGTAACACCTGCTGCAAGCCTTAGAAATTCAGAAGACATCCTGATATGAATGGGAGATGCATTTTTATCTAGGCTTTTGCTCCAACTGCCTTCTGCAGTTAAATAGCTCTGACTTCATAGAAGAAACATGTAACATTATGTATCTATAGTGTCTTATTGTCTTACATCCCAGTCTGTATACTCCAGTTTTCTTGTAAGCATAAGATTTGTGCAGAAATTGGGAGAATTTTTAATCACTGGTCATTACTGAATTCTGATTTTCAGTAAGGTCTTCCTGTGACTGCAGAACAGTTTTCAAAATTGGGAAAAGGTGGGAAAGAAGGAAGAAAAGGAGAACAGTTCTGTGCTCCTGTTTCTCTCAGAAAACAGTTGCAAGAACCTGTGTGTTTGTGCCATCCTACAATAAATGAAAATTCTGAGGTAATGGATGTTCCTTCATGTGTCCTGTTATCATCATTCAACAGGAGACCTTAGCCTATCTTGTTTTATCTCCCAAACAAACTTGTCTTCAGAGGAAATTGTCTGTCCTGTTACTTTCTGTCTCTACTTTTCAAACGTTTCTGCCAGTAGATTCCTTGCAACCCATATTGTACAGATTCAGAAACCATGTCCTGATTCCAGGGCATAAGTGAGTGTCAGAACTAAGTTGCACAGTCCTTTCTGCAGCATTGTGGGTGATGACATTTAAACTAGTGGATTTATTACATTTTTTTCTTGTGGATAATTTGGGGAATTAAATCATCCTTATTGGCTGATCCCATGATGAGAGGGCATCTCTGCCAGCACCATGCAACCACTGCTGAGATCAGCATCCTTGTGGAGCAACAGCTAGGTGAGGGTAGAACACAGATCTCTGAACATGGGTTGCTGTCTGGTGGGAAGGACAACCTTTTCAGAATGGTCACTTCAGCTGAAAAGCCTGCAAATGCTGAAAGCTTGAAGCATTTTTACTGTGGAGCAGTTGAAAACATATGGCAGAGCTGTTTTTCTCCACATTTTCTCTACAGACTGCATCACCAAACTGCTTTTCATGTTTAGGTGAGATGTACTGGTTGCATACAAAACATAATTTTCCACAATAATGGCTGCAAGACAACCTCTGAAATGAAATATGCCACTCCATTCATAGGATAAACATGAAAAAACTTTGATTGCTGAAATCACCCCATCAAGTTTAAAAAGACTTGTCAACAATTTTAGGTACCAGATTCGTATATATTAGTAATAATAATACAGTTACATTTCTCCATTTAAAATTAATCTTGTTTAACTAACTTTAAAAAAAACCAAACAAAAATTATTTCTTTCAGAGATATTTGACTGTATAATGTGACCTTCTAAAAGTTTTATGTTTTTTACTAGAAAATCACCTTAGCTATAAACATATTTCATTCTGTCTTGAATTTACATTATTACGTAGTGAAGTACAAATGACAGGGCAATGTATTTTACCTGTCAAACTGACATACAGATAGTAAAATGCCTTTTTTTTAAATCTAACATAGTTCTTAAAATAGAGTTCTTAAAAATCATAGAAAAATTATAACGCAAGACTTATAAATATTTAATAAGTCCACTCAATTTTTGGAATAGAAATTAACATTTCAAATAGAAAGAATGACTTGGAAACAACAATTTTTAAATATCTGTCATTAGCAATTCCTATCACTGCAACCAATATTATTTATTAAACAAACCTTTTTATTGCATCACTGAAACTATTGCAAGTATTATACTTATGTTTTTATCCATATTTACCCTTACCATAAGTAGCTAGTGTAGCATTCAGCAATAAAACATAATCTTGCTGTTATTTCAGTAAAATACAAGTTTTATCACTGACTTTAATAAGGGCAAGACTGGTATACTGGCTGTAAATTTGTCTACTGAAAATGAAAATTATCTTAAGAAAATATCATTCTATTTTCTGACCTGTGACTTAACTGTATGACAAGGTAAGTAGCTACTGTATGCACATTGCCTTACAGCAGCAAAGGATATAAATTTCCTTTTAATTCATAAGCATCATTCTGTCTTTGAAGTTTATAGAGTGAAATTCAACGGATATGACAGTGTGTTTCTTGCGTGTGAGAAGAAAAGGCAAAATGTCATTCATCGGGCAATTGTTTTCTGCTGGTTACTTCAGAATCAAGTGGTCAGTGTGACCTTTTATACTTTCTGTTTTGCTTTCTTGTGTGAATCTCTGATTATATATATTGGATTGACAGGGTTGTTTGGAAGCACTTCTGGAATGCATCCTTGCACTTTAAGACTATTGTCTTTGACTTACTGCTATGGATATCTAAAGGGACATGTCCCTCAGTTCTCAGTATTTCTGAACCCTGAGTTGCCACTTCTCCTCTTAACACATATAAAAAACCCCCACTAATTTTGCTACTCCCACTAAAGAAAAACAAATTAAAGCAGTCATTCTTAGCAGTAGTAGAGATCTCTATTTTTTCATCCTTAGCTGGATTTGTTTTTATTAGATGTTTACCAGAAAAACAAATGTGAAAGAAAGAAAAAGATGATACCTTCTATCTGGACAGGTGAAAAAGCATCCTGCACAAAAGTTAGGCTATATTGTTACAGCCATATGGCAGTAAAACTGAGTAATAGTATTGCCAAATAGCATATGAATTGCTAGTTTCCTAATATGCACATCGGCTGTCATATATACAGCAACATATGTTTAGATTTCAGCAATTTAGTGTGTTTTTGTTTCTGAGTTGTATAAGGGAAATACCCCCAAAATGTTCCGCTGATACTACCCCTCCATACCGCCCCCCCACCACCACCCTAAAAAGTGTCTGTAAGACATCCTTAAGGCACTTCTAAAGAAAGTATCTGCTCTTTTGCTGTCAGGAATTCCCGTGCTAAAGAAAGTTAATCTACTCACCCAGTCTGTCACTGTGAGCCTAGCTTTGTCCGTTCAGTGCTGCTTCTCTACCTGCTTCCTCCCTTCTGCATTTTACCGTATCTCCAGCGCTGAATGCACTTGCATCTCTCTAGGGCTCCCTCTCTCCCAGTATCACTTTTAAGTCAGGCAGTCAGCGAGCAGAAGCAAAAGGGACTCTCTATCTGATTGGTTTCCATTCAGTGCCCCTGATTAATAAGAACCGTCCCTCACAGGGAGAGGTGTTGCTGCCCCTAACAGAGATGTTGCTGCTGACAGAGCCGCAGTGCTCAGCGTGAGAAGGTTTGGGGCTGGGGGGGACAGGGTGACGGCTTTGCCAGCCAGTGATTTGCAACTGAATGCAGTGGGAGGGTTTAAAGAGGAGGGCTTTGTTAAGAATCCTCTTATTAACTGAGGCTTAAATACAGAGACTAATGCTACCACCTGAGTTTGGTCTGTTTTAATAATAGGGGTAAAGGCATACCCATAACCTGTGAATTATATGAAGAAAAATTTCCTTTAATATCTATACTAGCAATACAGTGCCATTTGTGTGCAATACACATTGGAGAATCCAAAATTATCCTGTAACAGTACTACAGTGACAAATGATTTTTAAGGTGAAAGAAAGCAAAGTGTGTGAGATTTCTCCCTATACTCAATACATTTACAGCTGTAGCATCACTTAAAGATATTGATAATGATGGGCTTGTCACTGTACCTGAAAGTGGGCATAATACGAAGTTACAAGAGATGTTTTGGGAATTGTGACTAATATTGTTCAAGTCATTGCCTGAAATACACAGTTTTATCAGCAACAGTAATGATTTTCCTGCTTTCTGGTGCAGCCTGTTTGGGTACAAGTAATCACTGCTCTGTACTATGACACCGGATGTTCGATATCACAGAATATTGTGGTTTGCTTGAACTAGCATTTTCAAGTGAAGCATAACATGTCTTATTAAATGAGAGAACTGTATTATAAGTAAGAAGTATTGTAAATTCTGGATTTTTATATACTTGTGTGTATATATATATATGTATTTGTTAATTTTTTGTGGGTTTCTAGCTACTAATGACTATTTCATTCAACAACATAAGATAAAAATTAGAAATGAGACATTTAGGAACTGATTGATGTCACTTTCTGTGCTGACTAACCCTGAAGATAGTTTTCATCAAAAGTCCATTGTGGGCACCATAGAATAACATGAAATGCTGCAAAGTGTAGTTCTCTGGCCTTGTAGCATAATTAATTTAGTACCAAAACTTCCTCTTATATGAATCATGAGGCTACTTTGTAGTTTTGAAATGTTATTAGGGCTGTGTTTTCAATAGCTGGAGTGAAAGAAGATACCAATTTATTCTGGCAGAGAAACTGTACTGTGACAAGAGGAAGGTTTACATCAAATAGAGAAGTGGGAAACCTAAGTAAATTATTTATTTTTTCTTTAGGTTGTTATTATTGCTTTAATACTGCCATTTATGAGCTCAACAGACTCATATTCACCCTATAGGGTTCTTAGCAAGAACCAATTCACCATTAGATCCCATCTGAAATTATTAAGAGATTAATGCAATTCACATAGATATAAGTCAGAGCCTTTCCATTGATTTAAGTGGCAGTTAAATTTGACTCTGAATGAACTAGATCTTCTCTGTGAATGCAACACATCCATGATAACAATATTTGTATATCCATAAGGGACTGCAGAATTTGGTCTGATATTTCTAAAATCAGAAAGCAAAATCTAGACCCAGAACAAAATCAATTAATGTACTTCCAGTAAAACACAAAAAGTAAAGTTTTAATTCATAGTTCCATCCCAAAGTTGGTCCACTTCAGCAGTGGAAACTACTGAAAAAAAATACTTTGCATCATTTTTGTCTCAGTAATTACATGGGAGAGCAAAAGGAAAAGTTACAGACAAGTGTAAATTTCTGATGTCCTAAGGTCCCAGTGTAGCCTTAAATTTTGTGGATCCTAAGAAGGTATTTTCTTAATAGGAAGATGTATGGATGATAAGAAGGCATGAGTAATGGCTCTACTTTTTTCATTGTATTGGCTTTTTTTCACTCTTTTGGCTTCTTTTTGGGAACATTGCGGCTACTCTAATCAATAATAGGAGATTATCCAGGTGCAGAGGAATACCTGAAATGTGAGAGATGGACAAAGTATCTTTTCACAATACTTTCTTGAGTTTATTTGGTGGTATCTGAGGAATGGGGCCCTGATTAAAGACTGTCATAGATCTGTTCATAACAGTTTTAGGACACTCAGATAAATGGGAGTGGCCCCATTTTTGTTAATACCGTCTAGAAATTTGTAGTAAAACAAGCAACTTTATTTATATTTGACAGTGTAATGCCTTCTCTCTAACATGTACTTTTCATTTTATTGTAAATATGGCACAGTGACTACTACAGGGAAAAAAATTGAAATTAAGTGCATTCATGAAACCCCCCCCCAGAAAAACCAAAACATTTCTAATGCTAATGGTGTTGCATGATGGGGGTTAAAAGTTTTGTAATATACACTGTAAACAGAATAGACATCAAAAGTAGGCCAAAATGGAAAAAGCGTAGGTGTGACAGCAAATAGGGAGAGATGGGTGGAAATCTAAGCCTGTTCTTTGGCATGCAGAAGGCTACTCCGTATAGGGGAGGAATACAAAATGCTCCTTCTGAAAAAGAGTGGGCAGTGGAAAGATATGGAAAAGCAGAAAGTGCACCAAAAGGATAAGGCAGGATTGCTTTTATTGCAAGACAGGCTGTACTTCAGTTTTATATTTAATGAACTCTCTTTCAGAATTGGGTCTCTTTTCAGCCCTATTCATCTTTCTTTTTTTACATTCATAAAGATTTGTCTGCTAGCATCCATGGGAAGAAATGATTACATACCCACTCTTTGTTGAAATTCCAAACATTTCCTTATTTCACAGAGGCTAAGATCACTCAGTGGTGCGCAGAGTTGGGCTGGCTGCCATGTTAAATCATTCTGAGTTCAATCACTGTTTCCCATCGGTTTTTCTTTTCCTGACATGTTTGCGCTTAACATGTTTAAGCAAAACTAAAAGCAAATAAAACTTCAGAAGGGGAAAGGAATAATCTATTTTTATCCCTAGGTTTTTCTACCTATATGTATTCAACAGATGATATCTAGAAATCTTCCAGTGGAACTGATATCTTTTGTGATTTTATCCCATGCTTCTGACAAGGCAAGGCAGACCTGAATTTTCACAGATCTATGTTCCCACAAATGTCCTAGGGTCTGTAAGGAAATCTTAGTCTAGGGTTTAGTAGTAACAACTTCCCTTCATTATACCACTTCAATATGAATTTTTTCCATTGTCAGAAATCTTAAATATGTATTTAATCCTTCTTAAATAAGAGACCCTGTGTGATGCCGAAAAAGAACGGTGCTGAACAGAATGGAACAATCAAGAAACATATAAATAAGAAAAGCTCCCTGAGATACACATGAACAAAGCTAACAGTTGGGTAACTTCAGCTCTGCTCATTTTCATCAGAGGCTTTAAGATTCTGATACATAAAGAAACTGGATCAAATAATTACCACTAGTTGAAAAACTAATCTGAAACACATCTGTATTTTCACTTAGTCAATCATTTCAAAAGATTGCCATTAGCTTCTTTTCCAGTTTTTCTCCTAGCTTTCTTCTCTCTTTCTGTGAAAGACTTTGTATGATCCATTTGTCAAAGAATATGATAAAGTGCATAACTTTGAAAGATTGTTGGAACATCATTGTGTGAGTAGCCACAGGCAGGCAACCAGAACTACCACAAAACCACTGCTGAAATGCAAAAAGTAAATTTATTTCATTATCTCACTAACTGGAGGATCACGAAGCAAGACCTGGGCACAGACACATATGCGGGAACACAAACATTGTTAGGCTCAGCCCATCCTGGAGGGAGGCAGGTCCCCTGTTTGAACCCATTTATCAAGGGCCCACACATGTGTAGTTCACCACCATGCTGTCATCTCCTCTGTGCTTTTTCATGATCTCCGAGCTTTGATCTTCTCTCTCCTAAACAGGAAGCTCAAGAATATCCATTAGAGTGCCTCCAAGTTTCTCAAAACACCTACATTATCTCTACACGGAAATTCTACTTCTCAAAACAGACAGAGGATAAACAGAAGTAGGCGTAATATAGGGGGGTTTCCCACACTGTTATTGTCCAGACCTTGGTAATCCCAGCTGCAAGGTCATTTGAGTGGATCTCCCACCTTCCTTGCCGTTCTTCTGGTTTTAACCCTTTCCTCCCAAGAATTGTTAAATCAGACCTGGCGAGCACTAAATTTTGGCTGGCCCCAGCCTATGCATATCCTATACAGAGAATAGGTCATAAGAGAGAGAATAAGAAATCTCATATTTCTTTCCCACTTTTGAACCTCTTCCTTTGATACAATTATGCAAGAAACAGCCACTCTGTCTTGTTTGAAGGAGAATCATATTTCTTTATATGGCTCCAAGTTCCCAGAAAAAGACATGAGAGGAGGGAAAATATGTATATGGGAAGGAACATATATCATGACCGAAATGTGATAAGAACAATTAGACATTGCTAAACTTTGAGCTGTTTAAAATAAAGCAAAGTTAAAACACACTCATAAAGCAATCTGGTGTAACACAGACCGTTGAATTAGGCTAACATCTCCAGACTTATTTGTCTATCTGGTTTGAGAAATACAGTAGTAAAATATTTAGTTAAGGATATATATAATAATCTGTTTCATAGCTTAGTCTGTATACAGCATTTTTAAAGTAAATTAAACCCCTAAATTAGAATTTTTCCTGGCTTGGTAAAAACCCAGTTATTTATTTAGATAGTTGGTGTAAATTGATTGGAGTTATATGCATACACACACATGCATATACGTATTTACATACATGTACCTATTCTTCATTTATTTCAATGAGAAAACTTATCTATCTAAGTCAAGATTCAAAATTTGAATTCAGTATCATATTTAACTTGATATTATGGGTAAATATGTAGAAACACATTTTTAGAAAACCCTAGTAGTTTCAAATTTATTGATTTATTTTTAATTACTTTTTTTGTCATCCATAAATCAATGGTATATATCACTGTTATCTTGCCTTCTTTCCTCTGTCTGCAGATATACTGTTTTGAAACACTATAATAAGATAAATCTGGGTTAGGTTCTGCTGAACTGAAGTTTTAAAACATCAAACCAGATTTTACAGCAGCAAGACCTTAATGATTTTTATGTCTTTAATCAGTTCAAAGCTTGTTAAGATTTTGAAA